GAAATTAAGTGAATGAAATTTATAAAGCAATTTTGAGGTGCTGCATACTTTCGGTAATTTGCAACGTAGTAATTAAATTATTAAGGCTGATTTATTGAATAGTGAACGATGGCCTTTTGCTCTTTGGGCTTGACGTTATCGATTTCGCACCCATACTCGCATACGAAAACCTATGTCGACGTTGCTCGTTATCTTATCTGTCGTACGCGTCGAAATTCTTTTCATTCATACATTTGCTCGCATTATACACAGTATAATAGTAATAACAAAAGGTGTAGGCTGATTATTATCGAAATAACTTTATAATCCAGATAACGTAATGTATATAAAATTCTTTTTATATTTAAATATACGCGGACGTAAATGGTTTTGTTAATATTAGATATTAGTTTTATTTTTAACAAACAAACGACTCATATTTCATATTTGATTGTTATATAATCGTTTTACCTTGAATCGTAGATCTTACATTACGTATGGCGTTTACTCATGACTTGCAAAACTGTTCTATTTTATAAAAAACGAAACAAATTTATCTTAATATAGTACAGCAATCTTTTTTCACAAATGTTAAAATTTTTATCTTTTGAAACTTGTTTCGAAATGCATACTTATATGGTAATATAAATGTATTGCAGTACAGGTACATTACAATTTTAAAAAAAGCTTATATACAATTAGGGCACTTTTATAAAATCTTGAATCATTACTGATTTAAGTTTTAAGAAATGATAAGATATGATTTGTTCTTTGCTTATAATATACATTTTTGTCAAAGCTAAATAAATCTAAAAAAATATACGTTATATACGTCCTATTCACGCACACAATTGGTACATGTACACATTGGTACTTTATTAATATTATTCAAATATTTAGCTTTTCCCCCATTTTTCAAATATTTTAGTTTTTTTTATTGCTCAAATTAACGATATTCATTTTCGTTGTAACTGTGATAGCAACACAAAGATTTTGGTAATTTAATTCTGCTTAACTTAATTTTCACATAACATTATAAAATATTTCAATATAAATTTTTGTGTAAATTTACGACATTTCAATATTTAGACCTGGTAATTAGGTATAAATAAACTATTTTTTCCATTCACTATTGAAAGTCAAAGGGAGTTGAAGTTTAGAAACTTATATTACAAGAATGTCGATGTTGCTAGTTTGAAATGTGATGCTCCTATTATCCATTTATGATGGTAAGTTGAACGTAAATTACTCTACAACAATAAAATATAATTTGGATTCAATGGGATACTTTAATATGAAACTTGGTTAAAAGTAATATTTTGAAAAGAGAAGTTATGTAATGAACCATATATTTAAAGAATTTTATCATTATCAAAATTCTATCGCAAGTTTTCTTTGCTTTATAATGAGTAATAAAATTTGTTTGTAGATTCCTACTTTCAGGAATCTTAACAATCTAAAATAAATATTTCGAAGTTGCGTGTTGGGACTCCAACCGCAAATCGAATGGAGGTGACAATGGTAAGATATACTATTCAATAGCGAAAAATTATGCTACGGCATAAACATTTGTTTATTGAAGATTTCAGGAATAAGAATCTGCAAGCAAAATTGTTTACTCAAAGCACCATATTTTGAGCTTTATTTAGCTGTCCCCAGTAATAACATTTTTCAAAAAGCTTTATTTAAATTATTTTCTATAAAGTTATTACTCAGAACACATATAATCTCAATCAGACCATTTTTTGGAGCTGTAGTAAATACTATAAATATATTTTATATTTGAAGAAGGTAATAAAAATAGACCGACTTATGGAGCTGGCAACATCGATGTACTTCTAATATAAAGACTGTGTAAAACAAGAACTTAATGGTATTCCTCGAGTTCCTTAAATATGATTTATAAATTAGTATTCAATACTAACTATTAGCTAAGAGCAGTTTTGTTGTTAAAGTTGAAAAGTTTTGATTCAAGTTGGTAAGATTATTATTTATTATTATCGCCGACTGCGAGTTAAATCGAAAATTTAAAATAATCTTTATATTACTAACCTTAGCGGATTTTTATTATTGTATTACCCAAAATTGATCAGTGTGAAATAAGTTAGAAAATAGGCAGATTATTCTATCCAATTGTTTTGATCACTATTAACTTTTGTAATGCCAAACATTTATTAACCCATTCGATACCGATTGTGCACCGTGTGTGCAATAATAATAGAGCAATTATCAGTTATTAAGTAAAATAGTCTTCGAAATAAGATTTTTTTTTGAATTAGTAGTATCTGTAAAGTATAGAAAAACTAAATTTGGCATTGGTTTTATTGCAAACATTTTTTTGGAATTTCGAAATCTACATTTTTGGAAAATATCAATGTGAACACCCATATTTATCTAATTCTATTTTTCAAATTTATCACCAACAGCAATAGTATCGCCTTCTATATATACCGCCTAAACGAACAAACTAAGAAATAATTTATTTCTTGTTTATATTATTTTCTTCATTATTCAACTTATTTTATTGACTTTATAATATTTCTTATAAAATTTCTTTGCATTTTATTCTGTATTACATTATTGAAAGAGCATCATAACGATTTTATATTATCTAATTATTTTTATAAATTTTAATGATGTATTTTTATTTTACCTGACTTTGCCCACATGGTATTCAATCCGTTCCTTCAATAAATTTTTTCTGAGGAGCGAGTTCATCTTATTTATGAAAATTTGCTTACGAATTGGCTGATTTCTGTAGCAAACAAGTTTTATTTATTAAAAATGAACAATATAAACAGAAAATAAATTTTCGCTCCTGGAGACCACGTTCGAAAAAAATCGCCGTCTCGAATGGGTTAAACTTATCTGATTGCCATCTAAAAATATATTTGGCTTTCATTGTTGTACCAAGAAAATATTTTTACCATAAGGAGATTTAATTACTGCAATTAGATTAAGAACTAATCGATTTTATTCGAATAATTTGGAATAAAGTGTTTTCGATTTTTATAGCTTTCAATTCTACGAGTCAGTCCACAAATTTTAGAGAAAGCCTTTTGTAAAATAATACACTTAAGGATTGAAAATGTGAAACGTTTTACTGCTGTTATATTTCAATACCGCTCAGGATATATATATATATATATATATATATATATATATATATATATGTGTGTGTGTGTGTGTGTGTTTGTTTTATTGTCAGCTTCGTTTTTTTTTAATTTTCAATTCAAATTTTCGTAATAATGGTTCATGCACCTTATATTATACTGAAAAACCGTTCAAATCAGTTCTTATTATATAACACACGCGACAATAATTTTAATCTCATAAGTAGCAATTAATTTTACTTTTTAAAAAGTTATTCTTTGAAAATTTACACATTGTTAAGATCATCTATACTATAACATAATTCTTTTCCTCATTGGATTTCTGTTTCATAAATAACAAGCGTTTCATTTGGTTGCCGTAGGAATGCTAACATAGATACGAACTTAGTTTTGTGCTATTTTATATTTAATATGAGGAAATTTAAAGACTTGCAATTGTAAATTTATTTACTTGCGACTTTGGTTTACCGAGATTATCTTCTAGAACGTTATAAACAATTCAAACAGTAATAGATTTTAATTATTTTGAGAAAGTATGTATTCTAGCACGTACAGTACGATATATTGCATTTTAAAGGAAACAAGAACAAAAAATGAAGTTAATTCTACTTGTTTACTTCGATTCATCATTCGGTTCGCTGATATAAGCCGTTACGATTAAGAATAAAAAGGATTCAATTATCATAAATTAGGAAAATAGGTCATTGCTAACTATAAATAGAATTTTGTTGAAATTGAATATTTTTATTGCATTAATGATACAATATTCGATGGTGTTAACAAAGCCATTTAGCATACTATTTACGCTTCAGCATATGTTTCTTATCTGTGCTTCCAGCATGGACAAAAGGCTCATATGATTCGCTAACACATTAATGCACCCATAGATTATATCTATAACAAAAACGGTATGGTAAACATTTTTGGACGATTTTATGAATGAAACTGATTTTTTTCTGAATACTTGCATTTGTCATGGCCGTTTTGTTTTTCAAATTATTTTTATTGAAAATTTGTGCGTTAAGTTCGTTGATGCCCATATAATGATTCAGTAAGATGTTGTCCATAAGTTGCTGGACCATTTTTTCATCCTCTATGTTTCTGCTCTCTCGCGAAATATTTATTCTAAAAACTTTTTTATACTTTGGCAAAACTACGTGCAAATGGAAAGAACAGCGTTTCAGTCATGTTGCCCCACTTTAAACTCCAATAATTAATATTTTACTGCTGAACTTATATGTATTTATTCAAAATTCTAAATTACAAATACAAAATTGATACGTGGGTTAAATTTCTATATAAGTATTATTGTTTAAAAAGTTCTGAATAAGTGTCGTTATTGATTTTTTTTTAATATGATATTGTCTACGGCATAGTTTGTATAAAGTGTTTCATTTTTCATAAGGGTCCATCCTCCGGTTGAGAATTCGGAGGATTTAGAGGACGGTGAGATAGAAACTGATGATGAGGACAATAATAAACCACCAGAACCTATTAAGCCTGTAGAAATTGTTAAGCCACAATCCCCAGTTACACTGAAAACTTCAGAAAATGCCAAATACAGTGATAAAAAGCCATATTATAAAGAAAAATATAAGAAATCCAGCAAACACAGCAAAGAAAAAAGATCTAAGAGTATCTCTGAATCAAATCACTGTGACATTAATAATGAAGGTATACTAGAACATACAATTACTTCAAGTTGATATAAAATTGTGATGACCACAAGTTCTGTACTAAAATTATTTTACTTGCCATAGAATTGAAGAAACATAGAATTTTATGATTAATAAATTACTTATTAATTATTACTTATTAAATCAATTACAAATATGTTTGAATTTGCTTGATAATTCTTTTTCCTCTCCAATTATCTAAATGACCACATTCATAGACACTATATGCTTGAAATATCTTTTTATTTAAAATGAGACCTTCTACAAATAAACAATAAGCAAACTCAGGATATCTCAAATGCTCAACATTCAACCCTTTCCACTCGCTAATTGCGGAATTTATACGTATTTTGCCGCCGGAGCGGCGGCACCCGAGTCGAATGGGTTAAATGTTGGTTTTGGTCAGACATACGAGGTTTTTTTGTATCAGAAGTTTGTTTAGTACATAAACTGTAATAGTATATATTTAAATTTACAGATGACTGGGCATCTAATGTTGAAAAAGCTATTGCAAATGCAATAAGAAAAGAAAGTGATAATAATGACACTAATTCATGTGATAATAAGGATAATAAGGAAGGAAGTAAAGATAGTCGTGGTAGAAAAAGAAGAAATAAATCTTCCAAAGGATCTTCCAATAAGGAATCTTCCAGTAAAAGGGTAAAAATGTTTCTATAATAATAAATGTTTTTAAAAGTTTTAACTTAACTTTTTCCAATGTATTGAGTATTTGAATATTTTCTATAATTATTAATATTTAATTATATTAATATTTAAACTTATTGACTTTGCTTGATATAATATAATATAATCAGTAATTAATAAAGGATGTTGATGTTTTATAACTTTTTATAATGGCCAGTTATAATAGGATATACGTAGGATATATCCTACTACTATTAAATTAACCCTTTCTTTTTTAATTTAACTAGAGTTAATAATTATTTTACTATTAAATTAACAATTAGTTATTTTTATATACAATAAATATTCTTTTAGCCTAAAGTTGAAAAAGTCAAGGAACCTAGCATACCTGATGAAGATATTGATGAAGATGAACTTCTTGGTATTAGGGGTGGCAGTCCTATTAATAACCTTCCAAACCCTTTGAAAATTGAAAGTGTGTATTTGTAATAATTAATGTTGCAGTATAAATTTGTTTTCGCAAATTTACAAGCTTCTTTATTTGCAGACTTTTCAGTTGATACCATCAACCAGTATGATTCTTACTCCAGTGGAGAAAGTCATGATTCAGATGGCTCACGAATTTTTGATGATCGTTCAAAACGTAGGCAGTCAAGAGGAAGTAAGTGTGTGTTATTTTGAGAGGAAAATTTATTGCAGAATTAAACAATTGTTTTTACAGCTTCAAGAAGACATGAGAGAAAGGGGTTTAAACGGCGTAATAACTCCAGCAGCAGGGATTGCCATCCTCTACAAGAACCAGATGGAGTCTGTTTATTTTTTTATGCAAGGAAAATGTCAAAAGGTAACTTTCATGACAAAATACTATAAAACTTTATCATTATTGATATTGAAGAACATCATGTTAATTGGCAATTCATTGTTTTGTTTGTTAAGAATGATGACTGTCAATATTCTCATGATGCGGAACCGACTCGTAAAATGGAATTGTGTAAATTCTATTTGATGGACTGCTGTGCTAAAAAAGATAAATGCCTATATTTGCATTCAGATTTTCCTTGCAAATTTTACCATATGGGTTTAAAATGTTTTCAAAAGGATGATTGTAAATTTGCTCATGGGAAACCTTTGACCAGTGATTTTAAAAATATTCTTTTGAAGGTATTTTTTAATATAACTTAATACAATTAGTTGAACTTTAACTTTAATATATTGGTGTTAATGGCTGTTTCAAATAATATGTTCAATTTCAAATAATATTAATAATTAGGATTAACATTTTAACATTGAAGTTTTTGGTGTGGAATGACTTACATTTAATATATGTACTAATAAATAACTATTAATAATTGCAATAAATAACTGTTAATAATTGTTAATTTGCAGCATATAGAAACAGCTCCAAAAGAAATTCTTGGAGATTTTCCACGTCTCAGTAGAGAAGGTATACTTTAGCAATTTATTTCTCTGAATTGATTTTTTGTGTCAAAATCATATATTATATATACATAATATTTTTAATTATTTTATAGGTGCTTTGAATATGGTTAATGCAACACAACAGAAACTTATGGAGCAACAAAAAACCCATGGGGTTACAAAATCTCCAATACCTTCATTATTTGAATTAAATATTCCCAAGCCTAAAAGTTTAGAAGGTTAGACTAAATTAATATTATTTCTAAATAATATAATAAATTAATAATTTTTTTTTTATTGAATTGTTTCATCACTTTACCAATAGTAAAATTCTTGATTAATTTTTAGCTGTATGTTGTTTAAAAGTATTCATTATCTTTTGCATGCTCTTTTATAAACTTTGACAATGTGTAATTTTATAAAGAAACAAATAAGTATATTTACAATTTCAGTTAAAAGTAGCAGATCCAGTAAAACATCTTCGGGTGTCAGAAAATCTAGGTGGTGTAATTCTCAACATTCATCTGATCCTAATGCTAAATCATCTTCCAGTTCATCACAAAACCATAATACAAATCAAAACCAAAATTATTTAAGTATTCAGAATTTAAATGGATTGCTTACATCCAAACAAATAAATGAGTTATCATTACTGGGAGTAACTAAATTAGATGAACTCAACCAATTAACAGTGAAGCAATTGAATGATCTAGGAATTACAATGATTCAGATTAATGAGATTCAACTGAATGCATTGAATATTCAAAAAATAACAAATTTGACGGCTTCTAATTCCAAGGCTGGGATACCATTTACGGCTGAAAATGGTAAAGATTTAGATTTGAGAATACCACCACCACAGCTGAGAAATGATATGTAAGTAAAAATTACTATTTTTTCAATCCAGTGGGGTCAAAACTTGTTCGCTCTTCAAGACATACTCTTTCTACATATTTTTCTATTTAAAACAGCATTGTAAACACTACTTAAAACATTGCTGTTTGTTGGCAAAACATTACAATATTGATCTAAATAATTGCACCAACATGAGTTTAACAACCTTAACTAAAATAAAACATTTGATTTTTAACATTTGCATCATCTTAAACTTTTTTTAATTTCTTGCTTTGCTTTTGATTTTGAGAATGGGCGTGCTATTGTTTTGTTCATGTATACATGTTTATATTATATATTGAGTTTATATAAATATGTGTATATATATATATATATATACACACATATTTATATAAACTCAATATATATATTATATATTTATATATAATATATATTAAAAAAAACATCATTATTTCAGAGTTTCTTTAGAGACATGTAATAAAGATGTAGACATGCGAATGATGCCAATAAAAAATAGTGATAAAAATAATTTGAATACAGTTGAGATTATGCCTGATTTGGGTGTTAATAAAAAAGACAATTCGCAATACTCCACACAAAATAAAGTCGACGAGAAGTTTTTAACAGAAAATAAGATGCAAGCAGCTCCTGTGATCGATTTTTCGCAATATCTTAAAGATTCTAGATTAAATTTGGATAAGGAGGTAAGAAGCAATGATATTGATGATCGAAAAAATGAAGAAGGAAAAGAAAATGAAAACAATACCAAATTGTTCAAAAAATCACTTGAGAATAAACTAGATGGTGGTAAGTTTATTTTATGAATTTCTATTTTATCTATATATATATATGTATATATCTACAAATCTACAAATCTAGACATATACAAATGCCAGCAAAATCTGATGATTTCTTGCTGATTCATTATTATATATATATATATATATATATTTTTGAATAGTCTTGAATTTGATGTTGATATATATGTTTAATTTGAGTTTAATATTCGGGCGTAACATCAATAAAAATAGTATGAGTTTTTTTAAAAATTTATTTATTTAAAATCCATACGTTTCGGCTAGCATCTTAGCCATCATTCAGTGGTAATCAAGTTAACTATAAAAATTGAAACTAAATAAATTATATGAAAGAAAATTTCATGGAAAAACAATAATAATAATAATAGTAATAAAACACTTACAATTTTGTATCCTAATATAGCATATGAAACCATTATTAATCCATGGTATGAGTATGTGCACATTGATAAGATATGTATTTTTTAACACAAACATCACAAATGGTAAAACACACTAATAATCATGATAACTTAACAAGTTGTCGAAACTCAGTATTTACTCTTCGGAGTTTAGGATAGAAATGTCACATTTTTCTCAAAGCAGTTTTTAGCATGTGTTGATATTTTTTGGAAAATTTAAAAGGCGATGGGATTTTGTTATTTTTTAAGGAATTTTGACACGCTATTAAGAAACCAAGTGTTCGTCTCGTTCAGGGCCGTATTGTCAAAGCGCTTGTTTATGACTCTGTCGTTATGTAATTGTAAAAACAACCCCTCAGCGAATCTTCTTTTAATTGTATTCTCTTCAAAATGTAAAATTTTAGGGTTAAAGAAATCGATATTATGATTTAAATTTTTAATATGCTCAGTTAACATTGTTTTAAATTGCTTGGGATTTTTTGAATTATTTTTGTGTTGATTAAGGCGTTTACTCAGGTTTTGGCTAGTTTCTCCAATATAAAAGAGTTCGCAATTAGAGCAATTAATTTGATATACTAAATTCCTGAGGCGGTCAAAATTGAACTTAGATTTCATTTGTGTGAAAATTGAACTAAGGGTTGCATCACAATTACACACCAACAGAATGCCACACTGTTAATTATTGTAATGCCACACTGTAAATATATATTTCATTTGAGTTTAAAAATCGGCGTTACATTAATAAAAAATAGTATGAGAGAAACCAAACGTATGGAATAATAAAGATGTTTTAAAAATCTTTATTTATATTTTTTCCAAGAAATTAATCATACATTTCAACATCAAATTTAAACACTTTCAACATATATATATGTATATAAATATATATATATATATATATATATATATATATATAATATATTTATATATAAATGGAAGGGAATATATATAGAAATGCATGATTAATTTCTATATGTTGAAAATGTTTAAATTTGATGTTGAAATGTATGATTGATTTCTTGGAGGGCGTAACATCAAGTAAAAAATAAGTAAAGTAAAGATTTTTTTAGAACATCTTTATTTTTCCATACGTTTCGACGTAAAATTCTACGTCATCATCAGTTGTGACGTGTTTTTGAATTTCTTCGATTATCACTAACACATATTAATATTACTTGTAAAAATTAATAATTAGAGACAAGCACTAAAAGCATTATTCTGTATGGCACTGGCCTCGGATACTTATTGTACGTGTATTTATATATAATATTTTATTTATTAATTACTTTTTATCTTTTATTCTTTTTATAAAAAAGAAATTACTGACATTTAGTGCTTGTCTCTAATTATTAATTTTTACAAGTAATATTAATATGTGTTAGTGATAATCGAAGAAATTCAAAACCACTGATGATGACGTAGAATTTTACGTCGAAACGTATGGAAAAATAAAGATGTTCTAAAATATCTTTACTTTACTTATTTGTTACTTGATGTTATCCCCTCCAAGAAATCAATCATATATATATATATATATATGAGTGAGTTCTTGAGGGCGATACATCAAACAAAGAAAAGCCAAAGATTTATAAAATAATCTTTATTTCCAAACGTTTCGACATTCAATTTAATGTCATCATCAGTGGATATTACGTTGGTTAGTTACATATAGAGAAGTGTACACAGCACTAGAGATTTGGCACTAACATTTATACAACTAACTTGTCAGCACTATGCATTTTTTTATATAATTTTTTTGTATGATGTAAACAGAAAAATGATAGTTTTATTGAACAAAAATGTAAGTAGAATTATGTAATTTCTGCCACGACTTCTGTACTTTGCTAGTACCGAGGCATGTACCAAATCTCTAGTGCTGTGTACACTTCTCTATATGTAACTAACCAACGTAATATCCACTGATGATGACATTAAATTGAATGTCGAAACGTTTGGAAATAAAGATTATTTTATAAATCTTTGGCTTTTCTTTGTTTGATGTATCGCCCTCAAGAACTCACTCATATATTTCAACATCAAAATTAACTACTAAATCATATATATATATATATATATATATATATATATATATATATTAATATATTAATATAAACTATTGATCTATTGATTGATGTATCTTCTGCGATCCTTAAATTTTGACCTTTTTTGGATTGCCTCGCCCAGTTTCATCAGCTAAAAATTTCTACACTATATGCTGCTGTTTAGTCTACTTTAGTCTTTAGTTTACTTGCTGGTACTTCAATTAAAAATTTCAACCCAATAAAATATAAAAAATATGATATGTTCAAATGAGACTTATATCAATTACATAATAAAAAAAAATTATAATAATTGTAGTCCTTAAAAATAATTGAAAAAGGTTCTGTGTCCAAACCAACCAAATGTTTTTTTTGACAACTTCTAATGAAACGGAACTCATATATCCAAATGCCATACAGTTGTTACATTTTCAGATAAAATTATCAGATTATGTTATTTTTCAGATAATAAAGTGGATGTGATGTCTAAACTTACTAGTGAAATTGACAAACTCTTAGACAGTGTAGTTGATGATGATGAAGCTTTACAAATTGATGAAAATTTGTATTATTCTGACGAAGGAGTAAGTGAATCATTATTGGATGTTTATGAATAGCAATACTTCACTTTTTTTACCTTATTTAATTTTAATAACTCAAATTAATATTATGTAATATTATATATATATATATATATACAGTAGGCCCTCGCCTTACACGGCACTCTGGGTACACGGTTCCCATACTACACGGAGCTAAAAATCCGACATCCCTCCGACTACACGGACTTCTTATTACGCGGTATTTGGTCAACAGCCCATAAGTCCGTTGTGCAAAAGGGTATTGTTGTAAATTTTGTTATCGACTTTTATCTTTTAGACATGCCTGATTGTATAATAGCCGCCTAAGAACACGTTTGAGCTGATTACTGCGTCGCGCCAATTTTTGAATAAGGTGTCAATTTTCGTCACGTCATTTACGTCATTTCGTCCGTATTTCTCCTACTTCAAGTTGTATTTCTTGGTCTCCATACAACGCGATAAAAATGGTGCGATTTGTACCAACTCTGAGTCTCTCATAACACGGTTCCCATACTGCACTATGTAAGGTTCCATAGAACGCACTACGAATTAGCCTGAATTGTATGTTAAATACGAGTTTCTTATAGCACGGTTCCTATACTGCACGGTACGCACTTGCCGCGTAAAGCGAGGGTTTACTGTATATATATATATATATATATATATATATATATATATATAATATATTGGAGTATTATATATATATTGGAGTGGGTAGATTTGTATGGGTCAAAAAAAGTCGCTTAGGCACACATGATTTTTGAATATTGGGGATCAAACTTTTATATTTATGGTCAATCTGGTGTGCAGTAAAAACATATAACATTAAGCTATTATTTTATTTGTTTGGAAAACTATTAGAATTGAACGAAAAATCTGTTATTAACATGTATTAATTATGTATATGTATTTTTAATGTAATGAGTCAAAAAATAAAAAAATTATTTAAAAGATTTAAAAATTAAAATTTGAATATTTTTCAGAAATTATATAAACTATGATAAATTTTTATCATGACGATATGAAACTTTGAATGATAAGAGCTAAATGTTTAATATATGTGAAGATGTAGAGAATTCATTTTTAATTTTTTGATTACTAGTTAATTATTTATTGTCATTATTTGTTCTAGGCTCAAGAAACTAATGTTAACTCAAATGATGAGGTTAATCTGGATAACAGTAAGGAGGAAAGCAAAAACAATGAGAAGAAAATGTAATAGACTCAAAACATGTTAAACTCCTTCTTTCTTTTCATTGTGCTAAATATATGTATTTAATTTCAGAGAAATAAGTTACCTACCTGAGTTGCCTGCATCTTACAGTGCTAATCTGATATCTTCTAACTGTGATAGCATGGAAATAAAATCTCCTGAGATAGAAAAGCAGGATACTAATTCAGCACCAGAAGCCCAGTGTGAATCAGAAGCTGATACTGACTTTCGGAAGAATGCTGATACGGATCTGCGGCGAACTACTTTTGGTGATACAGATTTACGACATGTGAGGATGGACACTGACTTAAGAAGAGTTCCTAAAGATATAGATTTAAGGAAAAGTAAAATAAACAAAGATGTTGACTTAAGACTCACTTCATCTCTAGAAATGCCGTTTAAACCAGTGACCCAATATACACCTGCATCTGAAATAGATGGCTCAATAACTTCCCATCCTCCTATTATTTATAAAGTGTATGAAATTGAAGTTTCTGCTCCTGATTATAGTAATATCATTCGATCTATTCCGCAATCTCAAGCTTTAATAGATCCACGGTTAAAAAAGATTTTTAAATTATCTTCAGATTCTCCAAAAACTGTAGAAGAGCCTGCCCCTGAATCTGTTAATTCTGCAGATGCAGCACCAAAAAAAACAAGGGTGGACCCTAGAAAACGTAAAGTGGAAATTGTAGAAGTGCCAAATTTATCACCAAAAGCATCAGTTTTAGACATTCAAGTTGTATTACAAACTTCCGATTGGTACAAAGAATTAAGTACAAATCAAAAAATTATGGTTAATCAACAACTGGCAGCCGTTTCAGGATTATTGAAACAGTTCAATCAAGATAAAAATCCTAATAAAATTTTTGATCTTGCTCCCATCAAATCAAATCCTATTTTATGCTCAATTCTCCATAATTTAGGTATTTATCTAACAGAAAATGGTCAGTTTGCTTATATTAAAGATAGTGTTGAACTAAATAGAAATCCACCAATGATAGAATCTATTCCACCTCACATAAATATGGGCCCAGTTTCTATGGGTCCTTGTATGAACCAGTTGCCCATGATGCCTGGAAATATGATGAATCCTACGGGTTTTGATAATAGATTTCAACCTGGAGATCCTAGAGTGGGCAATGGATTATTGGGACCTGCTCCAAATATGCCTCTTGATGGATATAATATTAATGGACAATATAATCATGATAATTACAATCAAAACTTTATGAATTATGGATTCAATAATGATCTCCCATGTGATGAAGAAAATTATTACAATATGAATCATAATAACATGAATCCTAATAATATGAATCCTAATAATATGAATCTTAATAATATGAGAGGTAATAGAAATGATGTTCCCCATAGCAATCATGAACACTGGAACAATAGGCATGATCGAAATATTGGCCCTAGAAGAAATTTTAATGATAGAGGGCGAGGTGGCGGTCATAGACCACGGGATCGAGGTGGGGGTTCTAGGAAGGATAAAATGAATAGGAAATAATTTAATTTAGGATTTAATCTGTAAATAGATTTTAATTTATATGGTAAAAACTTAGTTTTGCAGTATTTTTATGCAAAAGCAATAATATTTATGACAGTTTTGATGACAATTTATTTTAATTATTAGAAGATTCAAGAACTTATATTGGTTGTTGCAAATTATTTATTTATTAGTAGGTTAAATTGTATTATATATATATATATATATATATATATATATATATATATATATATATATAAGGTATACAAAATATATGTACACACATATTTTATATATTTTTTCTATTACATGGTAAAAATGATGAATGTGTATATATAGTGTTAGAAAAATATTTTGTAAAAATTTATACATTATTATGTAAAAGTGATACATGCAAATAGTAATAATTTAGAGAAATTCCATCATTGATTTAAATAAAACATAAGCAAGCTAAAATGATAAAAATTTTACATAAAAACTATGTTCACACTTAAATTATGTAACTAATGTGATAAATTAAAAAAATCATAAATTAATGTTTTAGTGTTTTGTGGTATTTGTTGTTTTACATTAGTATTTTTTTATATACGTATAATATGTAAGTGATATATGTGGTGAGTTTTATCGTGTTTAAAAGTTTGTTCAGTTACAATTTGTCTACAAGTTTGTCTCAATTAAAATAAAAAAAAAAAATAGTATCAAAATTATGTAAGTTTATGGTTAATATTAGGGACGACATTGACAAAAAAACCTTATTGACAGAACTGAAGTGGATTTGTTGATATTTATTTAATTAATTTTCGGACTATTTAAAAGCCAAATTCAACATAAATACTATGATAGACCTAAATTCTATTTTGTCTGTCTACTAAATACTTGCGAAAATCGTTTTGTTTAGTGAATTCATATAAGTGTTTAATAATACACTAATTAATTTATTCATGTGTTCATTTAAATTAATTAACTTGAAAATCTTTTTGTGTGGAATATTATTTGTAGTTGCCAGCTAGTTAAATATAGGAATAAAAGAAATATGGGATAATGGCGTGTTAAAAATAAGAAGTTAAGGAATGATATTTATGATGTGTTAAAAATTAATCAATCATTATTGTAATATATAGCATCAGTCATGCATCAGTTTAGCAAACAGTGCTAAAAGTTTGAAAGGGATTGCACAATGTCTGTCTTTTGGTTCCACATTTATTTCAATAATTACAAGTTTATGAAGGTAACTAATTATCATGTAATTATATTGTATAAATCATAATTATTGAATGTAAGAAAAATGCACAATTCTATTAAAAATTTCGATTACTAAAATATTTGCTAATATTTCTGCCATAGATAAATAAGCATAGTCAGGTAGGCACTTCTTTCAGGTATACTCTTTTTTATCTATGGGTTAAGTTAGGCATTCATTCATTTTTACACGAACCATGGATCAAAAATGATTTAAAATGAAATATGCCGGCGTATTCAGTTTTTGTGCAAGACCGTTGGTGTCAGATCACATGTCGCAAAAACGATTTATTTGTAATATATGAAAATATAAAATTATAATATATATTACTATAGTAAGAATTACTATTTGCTTTTAACTACTGCTAATTGCTATTAACTATTAATAATTATACTAATTGAAAATAGAATTTAATATCATAGTTTCCATCTATATTCGAAAAAATGCAATTTATTTCTTTTATTTTAATTTATTTCTATTTAAATTTTCTATCTTGTGTCGCAATCGCAACAATATATTTGTAATTTGCAAACTTTTGCCGCAAGAGTCGCAAACCTTGAAAATGGCACGTGTGCCGTGCGTCTAATGCGATTTGGTTTTGAGTTAAATTAACTGATGTAGTGGCTGCTCTTCTTACCTTACTTGACAGATGACAGCTTAGTTAATTTTCTAAATATTACAAAAATAGTGTGTCCTGAGGACAACATTAAAGAGTTCTTATGTTTATAATCAGTATCATGTTTCGATAATAGATTAGATATTATTTCTATATTTGGAAATAATAATAATGCAACCGAAAGTATGCGAAAAAATACATAAATCGTACATTCGCAAAAAAAGACTTAGCACACTCAACTACAACCTTTTTTTTAATATATTAGATATCTATTTTATATCTATTAGTGATAAATAATAAATAATAACATGTAATATAAATAACTTCTCTCTTCATTTTTTGATTACACTATAACATTGAATTAAAATCTTCGTAAGATGCTTAAATACGTAACAAGACGATTCAGAGATACCTATGAGAAAGGTTGTAATATTTTGTACACCAGAAAAACTTGGACGTACACAGAGAAAGAAAATATACACATAGAGAAGTCTCAATCTCCTTCAGCTGAAGATAACACAGGATCGAAGAATTCTGATGAATATCCTAAAAACGATTTTGATGCTGGAAAGTACCAAACATCATGGTTGCAAGCTGTTAAATGGAGTAGTGCATTTATTATCAGCTGGTATGCTACTCAATTTGCATACCTCAACTGCAAACGCAGCTGTAGGGCCCGCTTGCAAAACTCTTTCTTGTGTGTCGGACATAATTATAATGTAAACCATAATATTTTATCTGGATTATCATATGTGCAGCCGAAATTAAATCAGCAACATGCATCATTCAATGTGTACAATGTAGGATATGAAACGAAGCATCAAACTTCACTTCATAACAAGCCTGAAAACCAAAATGATTCTGTTAACGAAACATCATTTGAAGAGGCTTCTGATCATTTTGAAAAAATTGTTGGCCAAATTGAAAATAAGTTAGGTGTTGCAAACATAATTTCTGGTGATATTATATCAGGGCTCTCTCAGTTAAAGTCGGGAGCTGTCCATGGCAATGCCGCTGCTAATTTTAATCTCGGTTTATGCCATGAGTTGGGCATTGGAGTAGAAAAGAATTTTGAACAAGCTGAAAATTATTATTGTGAGGCCGCCAAGAAGGGACACACAGATGCAATGTATAATTTGGGAATATTTTACATTCAAGGCAGGCCAGGAATCAAAATTGATTACAATCAAGCAAGAAGATTTTTTTTTGAAGCAGCACAGAAAGGTCATTCAAAAGCTGCAGATGCTTTAAAAATGGATCCGATTGGATATTTAGTGATGCAACAAAATATTGTAAATATTTCTCAAAAAACCATCAGTATATAATCAAATGTAATTTGATTTGTTGGATTAAATATGTTGGTTTGTGTGAAATTTTAGAGTTACATTCATTTCATTTCATATACAAACATCTTTAAAACAACTTATAAAGAATATAATACATATATATATAAAAAAATACAAAAATATTAGGTGGTTTATTATGATTATTATTGTAATTTAAAATTATATCTGATATAATTTAATTTGTAAAGTGATATACAATAAGTATCAATAATATGGTTTAAAATAGTTACAATAAATTTGTTAGTAAGTAGTTATTACTTGATTCATTTTTACTTTTGCATAACTCTTGAATTTAAATTCTGATGAAAACTGATTTAAATTAAGTGATTATATTAGATATATATATATATATATATATATATATATATATACCTAAAATATGCAAAATGTAAAACTTTCATAAGAATTGTTTTATTATTCAAATTAATATAATTCAGTATCATATTGTAATGTAATTGTATGTATACACATATAATTATATAGGCACACACACACACACACACATATATATATATATATATATATAATTAATATGTGTGCATACATATACAAAAGTATATGAAAGACTGTATACAAAGAGTGAAAAAGTAATATCAAATATGTTTTATAATTCATATATAAGTAGTTAATAACTCATCAGATATAAAAATTATTTGTTTAATTGAAACTGTAATTTCAATAAAAAGATTTATTTCTGTACTCTTTGAGTTTTTATGCATTAAAACTTCTTATGTCCTTTATATTATACATTACTTGGGTAAATTGTTTATATATATATATATATATATATATATATATATATATATGGGCTTTAGATTTTTTTGTTCGACGTTGAGAGATATTGTTGAAATGTTAATTTGCAGCCAAATAGTTGAAGTGAAAAAACAATAAATACAAAAGACGTACGTATAAAACGTACAAAATGAATAGTTCAATTATTAACTTTCCGTAGGGTAAGTTATAGTAATGCTACCCATCCACTAGGCAACCAGGCGACCGAGCAATTTATGACCAAATGACCAATAAATGTCCAGTTGTAAAAATTTTCGGTGTCTCGGGCGATCGAACAAAATTTCATTCATATTTCTTGAACATTAGAGAAAAAAGTATGTATATTTAGAACGTGAAATGAGATAAAATCGACTTTTGTTGCAAATTTTAGATCGTTTTCATTTTATTTAAACATTTATTTTTTATATAAAAATCATATTAAAGTAAATCATATAAAATTAACATATGCACATGTACATTTGCAACAGATGAATTTGTAATGAATTTTGCCTCAAACATATAGCTCAAAATATTGTTCAAACGTAGACCAATAGCCGTTATAACAAATTATTCACGATTTACATTATATTAGAACCTAATTTTAACCTGACCTTTGTGTGGATTTCATAAGTGGAATTAAATTCCAAACCAATGACTCATATTTTTTGAGGTGCAATTAAAAACGGACAACTTTTAAAACAAATTCAATATTATATTTATTTTTGAAAGAAAAAACACGAATTAAAAATCAATTTTTTATTCATATGAATAAAATGTGTAAAACTTTATGTATGCATTTCCCCAGTATAATCAATTTTTTGTAGTATATAAAAAGTTTTTTAATAGATAACACATCGCATTGCCGTTCTTGCTATATTCATTTT